GCCAAATTCCACCCCAACTCCATTTACAAGTTCGCTGACAACACCACTGTTGTAGGTTGGATCTCAAACAAAGATGAGACAGAATACAGGAAAGAGACTGAGTGCTTAATGGCATGGTGTAAGGACAACAATCTCTCCATCAATGTCAGCAAAATGAAGGAGCTGGTCAGTGACGTCAGGAAGCAGAGTGGCGGGCATGCCCTTGTCTGCATCAATGGTGCTGAAGTGGAAATGGTTGAGAGCATCAAGTTCCTAGGGGTGACGATCACCAACAATCTGTCCTGGTCCACCCATGTTGATGTGATGGTCAAGAAAGAAGAACAGTCTCTCTACTTTGTCAGGAGGCTAAGGAACTCTGACATGTCCACAAAGACTCTTACCAATCTTCATACACCATAGAAAGTATCCTATATGAATGTATTACAGTGTAGTTTGGCAACTGCTCCTCCCAAGATGATGAGAAAATACAGAGAGTCGTGAACACAGCCGAGTCCATCATGCAAACTAGCCTTCCATCCATTGACTCCATCTACACTACCTGCTGCCTCAGGAAAGCAACCAACATAAACAAAGACCCCTCCCACCCCAGTTATACTCTCTTCTGTTAGGCAGGAGTTAGAAAAGTTTGCATATATGTACAAACAGATGCAAGAACAGCTTCTTCATCCTGCTATCAGACTTTTGAATGGACCTTTCAAATGTTAATGTTGATCTCTCTCTCTCTCTCTGCACCCTTGCCACAGCTATAACATTGTATTCTGCACTCTGTTCTGCTACCCTGATGCACTTTGCATGGTGAGATCTGCCTGTATAGCACACAAGACATCACTTTTCACTGTATCTCGGTATATGTGAGAACAACAAATCAAACTCAGTCACTTTAGCCTCACTTCTGGAATTCAGCTGTTTTGTCCATGTTTGAACCAAGGCTGTAATAATATCAGATGCTGGGTACCCCTGGTGAAACCCAAACTGGGCATCACTGAGCAGAAAATTGCCGAGCAGATGCTGCTTGATAGGACTGCTGATGACACCTTCCGCCACTTTACTGATAAACAAGAGTAGACTTATGGGGCAGTAATTGGTTGGGTGGATTTAATCTGTATATTGTGTACAGGATATTCCTGGGATCAGTTGGCTAGATGATGGCTTGTAATGCAAAGTCAAACATCAACAACATGGGTTCAATTCTGATACTGACTGATTCTCCTCAAACTCTTCCCCTTATCTGAGGTGTGATATCCCTCAGGTTAAAACACCACTAGTTGCCTCTCTTTAATGGGAGAGCAGTCCTATGGTCTATGTTGCTCATCATAGACTGAGCCCACAAACTCCAGGGCAAGGAAAGTCATGACTTCCCTCCTTAACACTCTCAGAATATTTTTTTCTATACACAGGTATCACATTTTAATAAAACTTAGTTAACCTGATCAAAAATAAAGGAAAGCCGACTCAAAGTTGTCACAATCTCAAACAACTCCTTTTCTTGAATTAAAAACTGTGGAATACCATTACTATTGATACTAAGGAGTACTGTTAAAACAAAGACAATACACATTCAAATACAGGAGAGGAGTTTACAAAAAAAAAGGAATGAGGTATCTAATATCAACAGAAAGGTAAAGGCAAATGCATTTTCAGTTCTTAAGACTCCATTGGGCTTTGAGAATGAATAGACCCAATTCTTGTTTCAGCTTTCAGTGAATCGTTACAAGTTGCTTTTCATTGACTAGTTTCTGAGCTTGAGGGAAATTGAGAGTGAGAGAGAAAGAGAAGCTACACCTTTCAGTGTAGCTTTATTGCCTCTTACAAACTGAAATCAAAGGGTAATCTTTCATTTCTAGTATGTTATTATGCAAGTGTGAATAAAACAAGCAATGTGAATGCTTTGATACCTCACTGAGTTTGATTCACTCATGGATGAAATGGTAATTCTTATGTAGGAAGTTTTGTATATTCTTCGTGAGTTACCTGAGCTTGTTAGATGATCACAGCCACCATTTTAGGTCAGCCATGTCCTTTGTTAAGACATTTTTAGTCCACGGAATTCTCAGGTGTTAAAGTCAAATGAGAAAAATTCGATACTGATATTCTATTTTTACTACAATTGTAGTAAATTCATATTTGTTTCATAGACCTCCTGAAAAGTAACTTGGAACATTTGGGTGCTATATAAATGCAAGTTCTTTTTGCCCCAAACCAAAATGTTCAGATCGTAATTCACTATCTGAGGACAGAGATGAATACTGCATCACCACTTCTGACCTTACGATGAAGGGATGGTTACTGATGTCATAGCTAGGGATGTATAGTCTTCAGATACAGACTGAATAAATTTCTGCAGTCATATCTGGGGCTGAGATGATTGCCATCTAATAACTACATCCATCTTCCTTTCATTAGATATGACACCGACCAGCGGAGAGTTTTATCCCAAGTTGTAGTGAACATGCAGTGTACATATAGGCAGCAAGGAAGTCTCCAACTATTCCCAGACCACAGCTCCAAAATGGCTATGATCATAGGCCGACTCAATGCTGAAACATAGAATATAGGAGCAGGAGTAGGCCATTCAGCCCTTTGAGCCTGCTCTGCCAATCAACACGATCATGGCTAATCATCTAACTCAGTACTCTGCTCCCGCTTTCTCCCCGTATGCTTTCATCCCTTCAGTACTAAGAACTATATCTACATCACTCTTGAAAGTCTTCAATGTTTTGACCTCAACAGTTTCCTGGGACAGAGAATTTCACAGGCTCTGGGTGAAGAAATATCTCCTACATCTGTCCTAAAAGGCACATCCCTTATCCTTAGATTGTGACCCCTGGTTCTGGACTCCACGGTCATCAAGAACATCCTTTCTGAATCTACTTCATCTAATCCTCTTAACTGGAAAAAACAGGCCAGTGATTTGGGCTCAACCACTTTGTTGTATTCCCATGGAATGGTCAAGGGAGAGGGGGGAGAGTCAGTCAGCGAGAGAGTGACACAACCTCAGTTCTACCTCATCCAATGCTAGAGACTGTCTGGCATAATTTCTAATCTTTCTTCTTTCCCCTTCCTCTGGCATTGTTGCAAAATTTGTTGTCGTCCAGTTAGTTCCTATTTTCAACAATTAGAGTGGGAAAGCTGATGAAATGTTCCTTCCCAATTTGCTTTTGTGGCATGGACACCTCTCACCTGGCTTTGATGATCCTGCAATGCTAAGTACCACTAACTTTTGAAATTGATGTCCTTTTGAGAATTATATGCAACGTTAATTATTTTACATATTAAACATCGTCTCATGGTACAACTCCCACTTTCTCTTTAAAGACTGAGGCTACATGAGAACTGAGCATATCTGCTATTTCTTTGCCAATTTGATGATTTAAGAGGCCTTTGATCTTGTGGTGATTTCTATCATTCTATGACACTAGAAATATACTGCCCTAGATTAAATGCAGTAATAGTAATGCTAGGCTATAAAAGTGAAATGCTGTATTTAAATGTTTTCATTATTAATCTGAATACCCCTTGTAGATCTCGCTGCCTCTTTCCTCCTTCAATGCACTTCTCAAAAACCTACTCATTGATCAAACATTTAGATACCTGAGACTTGATCCTACATCTAAGTCAGGGATATTGCGTCTTCAAGTCCCACGGCAGGGCCTGAGAACAAAGATCCATGCCAATAGTCCAATGGGAATGCCGCACAATTGCTGAATCATTACTGAGGGAGTTCTGCACTGCAGGAGATCAGAACTGGGGGAGCAGAAGTTCAGTATTCAGATAGTGCTGCATTGTCAGGAGGTCAGCATTGATAGAACACTGCATCATTAGAGGAGGAGTACTGAGGCAATGTGGCAGTGTCAGAGGGTAGATATTGCGTGAGTGCTGCTCTGTCAGAGGTGTTGTCTTTTTGGTAAAACATTAAGTTGGGCTCTTATCTCTCCTGTCAGCAGGATGGAAAAGATCATATGATACTATTTTGAGAAACAAGGGATGTGTCCCCAGAGTTCTAGTCAATATTTATCCTCAATCAACATCATGTTTTTACGATGCAGCATAAAAAATTCATTTTGTTCTGTAACTTTATCTAACCATTGCCTTAATGTAATGAGCACCTTACTGCAATAATGCAGCACAACACTGAAGTTGGTATTAGAATTATGAAGGAATGTGGCTATAGTATTAGAATATAGTGCAGATACCGCATTACCTTACAATGATTAGATTGCCCAGAGGCTGGATCATTGAAAGTATTCACCTCAAAATTAGATAGATTTTTGATGGAATGGGGGTGTGGGCAGAGATAGGACAATGGAGTTGAGACACAATGTAATCTGCCAAGATCACACTGTATGGAAGAGGAACTTAGCGAGGCTGAAGGGCCTATTCCTACTCTTATTCATGTGTTCTTGTAGATGAGTGGAATAACGCGATCTCTGCGCATGCAACTCAATGGAATCAGACACTACAGAAGAGGCCATTCAACCCATTGAGTCTGCATCAACAAAACTACTCTACATTTATACAAGTCCCAATTTCCTGCACAAGGCTCATTGCCTTGAATTTGATAACATTTCAAGTGCTCATCCAAGTACTTTGCAAAGGTTGTGAGGTTACTCATCTCAACTACCCTCCCAGACAGTGCATTCCAGACCCCCCACCAACCTTTGGGTGGAATCTGGTGGAGTTCTGCATTAATTTTTTGTGTTCCTTTTGGATTTATACATCTATTGGTAATCATTCACAATGGAAGAGGAGATGACTGATGTTATAATAAGATGATTTGTAACTCAGAACTTCAATTCCTTTGGGTGTTGGTGTTTAATATTGCTGTCGCTACCTGCTCTCTCTCGATCCGCGTGCGTCTGAATGGTTTGAAGCCCTGTCCAACTGTCTCAAAGAGTTCGAGTCTCCTCCCCTCGGTCGCCCGTGATCCTATTGGCTTCGTTCCGACGATACATTTTATAAAGCCGGGCATTGACAGAATGAGAAGGGTTAAGTGCATCGGCGGTTCTAAGGGGAGCAGGAGCTGCGGGTTGTACATTGGTCAAAGAGAGACTCGAATCTCGGACTATCATCCCAGGGAAATTGGGAAGAGTTGGAAGAAGGCGCTCCTTCGAAAGGGGGTAAACTTCCGCCCCGAAGAGATGAGGTTCCTCAGGATCAGGTAAAAGTAGTTTGAGGAGCTGCAGTTTTGTTGAAAGTTGCTGTAATCCGGAGTGCATCAAGTTGGGGATCATGAGCCTAGTAGGGAGCTTCCAACATCCCGCATTAATGCATGAAGCTTTTCCGTTCGGTCCCAATAATCGCTGTCACCAGGACCATCCCTTCTTCCAGAGCTGGGTCCTCAACCAGGCGGAGATGTCTCCCGAATTCCCCACGCAGCCCTCCTACAGCACCGAGTATGGGATTAACGGGATAGGAACGGAGCCTGGCCGCTTTGAAGGTGTCCCGGAGCGGACGGCGGGGAGACGCCGAGCAGCCTCGGTCCCGAAGAAGGAACGACGCCGGACCGAGAGCATCAACAGCGCGTTCGCCGAGCTCCGAGAATGTATCCCCAATGTACCGGCGGACACCAAACTGTCGAAAATCAAAACGCTGCGTCTGGCCACCAGTTATATCGCCTACCTGATGGACACTCTGTCGAAGGACAGTCAGGTCGGAGAGGCGGAAGCTTTCAAAGCAGACCTGAAGAAAACGGATAGCAAGGAAGCGAAACGCAAACGGGAAACGGTAAGAACACATTTTACAAAAGCCGAGAAATTGAAAACAATGAAAAATCCATCCAGACTCTGGGGATATTGGCTCCTGTTCACGCAAAGTTTTAAATAGGACAAGCTTAATAGACTTTTATCTTTGAAAATCAAACTATTTTGCATCAAATACACGTTTTAAGATAAAGTCACGAATAAATGTTCAGGGATTTGCAAGTTGTCAATGTTGGAATCTTAACTCCGGTGTTTGGTTTATACCCAAATGCTCCAGTTGGCCGGTTCGGCTTCATAAGAAGTGAACTACAATCTTGGGATAAATTTAAAATCTAAACGTTTTCAGTACAGATCGAAATTGGGGCGCGATTCAGTAAGGAGGCAGGAGTCCGCCCTGTTCAGAGATCCCAAGGCCTGGAATATTTGGTGATTAGCACAATAAATAAATACAGGAACGTTTCTAATGAAACGGTTGCTAATTTCTCTCCCTCTTCCTAACAATCGGATAGAACAAACCGTATTCAGCAAAAACCTCCAAACTGGGATTGTCCTGGTTCGCTTTAACCTCAATTCTAAACTGATTTATTGATCTAACATTTAAAGTACCTGGTGCATTTATTTGAGGTATAGACAGCGTTACAGCTAAGCTAACTTCTTAATTAAGCCCCCCCCCCCCCCCCAAAACAACCGAATTGACCAAGCTCTCTGGTATTTTCATCTGAGAATGTGCTCATCTTTCCCAAATTGAAATCGACAACATTCGGTTTGAGTCTCGAAATTGTGGATTTTTTGGGGTCCGAATTATAGTGTTTCCAGGTACAATTCCATTCTCTTTTATTTTTGTAACAAATGAAAACTGTCAATAATGCTCGCAAACCGGGACCAGGAATTCTTGAACAGGACAATTCATCTAATTCAATCAAAATGTAAAACTACAAACCAACAGAAAATAGTTGAAAATGTCGAGGTAAAGAGTCCTGTATGTTTAATTTCAGGTCGGTTTTGAGATGATTGCAACTTTCCAAAACTAATTTGTGGAGCGTGATTAGATCTTCACGAAGAGTTCTGTTACATTTTCCGACCCGATTTGATTTAATTTCAAATACAGTTTCCAAGCAGACAAATAATCCCGTTTGTGTTTTTATTTGCTGCAGTTTTAAATTAACCCTGAGCTTCTAGAACGCTTTACACCCTCACCTTCCTTCACTGAGTCGTTGCCTGTGAGCCTGTCTCTGGAAAGAGAAGGTATTTTGGATGTAGTTAGCGTGAGAGGTCAGATAATTTACGACATCAAGAAGACCATTCGGCCCAATACATCAATACCACGCTCTCCATCTAACTGCATCGTTATAGCACAACATTTCAATCCAGAACTGCGGATGCTGAACATTTGAAACAAAAACATAAATTGGTGGAGAAACTCAGCAGGTCTGGCAATAGCTTTGGAGACCAAGTAGAGTTAACATTTCGAGTCCAATTACCCTCCTTCAGAACTGCTTTCTCCAGGCCTGCTGAGCTTCTCCAGCAATCTTTTTTTTTGCCCATCAACATACCGTTCTGTTACTTGACCAAACGCCCCCCTCAAACGTGTGATTTTAGAGAACAGAATCGATTGCATATAATTGTGTGTGTGTGTGTGTTCCATCTCCGGGACTCCTGTGCCCACCGATATTAAACCTTATTTTCTATTTGAACCAGAATGAACCTGTAAACAGCTCGGCCAGAAGCAGCGACAAGAAGGTGAAAGGACGGACGGGTTGGCCACAGCAAGTTTGGGCTCTCGAGCTGAACCAGTGACTGCAGTGAACATGCAAATTTGCACAGTTTTTATTCCAAGTTGAAGGCGGCTGAATGGTCCCACGATCGATCCTCCAACTGAGCAGCAAACCAGCAGAGAAGCATAAGTGCAATTTTAAATCTGTTTGACTCCAGGACTATTCAAATAGGGGTGGGGTGGGTGGGTTGGGGGGTAACTATCTATATTTGAAAATAAATTTTCATTCAGTGTAAATCCTTCAGTAAAAGGTCAAGTTGCGCCCGGATAGATGTACCTGGATTTGCTGGAGACGGGTCAGGTATTCTGTCCAGTGCCCACAATTCTCGGTTCCCCTCAATTTGTTTAACCCATTTTAAACGACTTTAACGTACCAGGGTCTTATTTTGCTCCTATTGAATTTCACTAAAAGGTTTACAATAGGTTACACCAGCGAAGCGCGATTCCAGATTTCTGTGATTTCTTGCCTGCGGCCGTTTCCCCCTTCTGTCTTCGTTAATGTGTGATTGTAAATTGTATTTAAAAATAAATAATTTTCTATTTACAATTTCATACGGTTGCATTTGTGGATAGAACAAAACAAGAACAACGTAATTTTCTGAAGAAGGTTCTAGGCCCGAAACGTCAGCCTTCCTGCTCCTCTGATGCTGCTTGGCCTGCTGTGTTCATCCAGCTCTACACCTTGTTATCTCACAATATAATAGCCGCCGTTTAGTGGGAACGGCGCCGCGACTTGTAATCAGTCTCTGGTATATCGAGGTGCTGGTACAGCTGGGAGCACTTCCTCATTTTGCAGGAGGGAAGATACTTCCCGGAACCTTAGGAACAGTCGGGTGAATGAGTAGCTGAAGGACTAAGCAGTGACCCACAGATATTACAGCACAACTCCCCACGCCGACAAACTGCTGATGGGGAAACTTTGAGCTTAATATAACCGACTTCTCCATATCGTTATAGCCAACACCAATGTGAACTCATAGAAAGATTACTGTAGAGAAGGAGATTCGGCCCGTCAGTAGCACGCAGTTAGTCTCACTTCATTTTGCCCCGGATCTTGCCAATTTTTGACAGATCCTGCTAACTAAAACAAAAATCGACACTTTCTCCCTCGCTCTCTTGTCGGATATTAGCATATTTTCAATCTTACGCCCGAAATCATAAAGAGTTATCAAATCCTTCAACGAGTGAGGGTAGTTCTTACGGAGAGAGTCTGAAGTTTATTATGATTCCAACAACAGATACTAGGGCTATAACAGTTACTGTGAGTTATACAACGTAATTACAACAATAATTATTACCTTGGGTTATAATATTTACTGAAAGTTGTAATATGCTTTGTGATTGCAATAATAATTACTGACGAATTGTAATAGTTGACGAGAGTTATAATATGTTTTGTGATTACAATAATAGCTACTAACTCGCAGTGTAATGGTTGCTGAGAATGCAGTTACTATAGTGATTGCAGCAATATTTCTCATCTCTGGTTGTAAAGGTGATTCTGTACGGGATGGGATGAAAATTTCTTTGACCGCGATCGGTACAGTAAACAAAGTGCTGTCAGAAATTATCTGAAGGTCAAACTGTTGGGAGGTCTGAGTGGGGAAGCTACCGGCGATGAAAGAAAGGGCTATAAAAGCGCCCACCTCCAACCCCGTCCCTTTCACACTTCAGCCGTTGCAAAACCAACAAGATAAGGGTATGAATTGGACACGAGACCATTCGGCCCATTAATAAACATTCAAACAAATGTTTGGCGGGGGCAAATCGATCGTTTCAGAAACATTAAAATAAACCATTTTTCGACAAAATTTCACTGAAAGCCTTCAGTATCAATTGTTTGTGCACCAGTTGTTTTTATTTCATATCTATCACATTCCTCTTCCGCCCCCTCCCTACTAGTGATAAGTCGACACTTGTTTAATCCTCCTCCCCACTTTCTGTCGGTGGTAATTAATGCTGTCTCCAAACATCGCTGCGGTTTAACTTCAGAGTGAAGTCTGCAGTCTATACGGACCGTCATCTGAATCTTAAAATACATTCACAGCCTATCAAGGGGGCAGTGACAATAAAAACAATTCTTTTCTATTCTAACTTCTAACCGTGAAAAACCACGACCCAGTGCAGCCCTGGCCCAGATAGTTTGGCCAGGTCAAAATAAAACGGCCCGAGCGTCCTTTCGTTTTCCACAGCAAAAATCGGGGATTAAAATTAATTCAGTATGACCTACGCCAAATCTCTTCCATCAAGTGAAAGTTCAGAGACTCAAGCATTGCTGAATCAGATCAGCCAGAATCTGTTCAAAACCCGAAATCCAAGGAAGCTTTTCATTTCATAATTATACTTCGATGATTAATACGCCGAAAATTGCAATGAAAAGACCGAACCTTTACCGTCCGAGGTCCCTGTATGGAGACCCTGCAACAAGGCAGGATTGAGATTTGTGGCCTTTGAGGCCAGTGGCGGCGTTCGTTATTTTGGACAGAAATTCGTTCCCCTGGGTAAGGGGGGTGAAATACAAGGAGCTTTGTGCCTTTCGGAAGCGTCAGTGCGACAGGATAGTTTTTGCTGCAAGATTCAGGAAATTGGCGGACTGATCTCGGTGACTGACAGGACACGAATTAAGAGACAGAAGAAACCGTTCTCTTTCACAAATAAACTGACAGCTGCATTTAAGTAGCGCCTTCCGTAGAGTGAAAGCGTTCAGGCATTTCATTGGGATATTTGTTGAAGAAGATCGTGCGGATTTACTATGCAGGTAACTTCACCTGATAACATCAGCAGCTCCCCCGTCACCTGGGGTCCACCCTGAACCCTATTAAAATCGCTGCATTTCATCTTCACTGCGGGAGTGCATCACCACCCTTGAATAAATCCTTTATTTCTCCAGGGGCCAAATTTCGACCAAGCATAGCTTTTAACCTGACCTTATCCACACCCACCTCGCCCCTTCCAAACAACACCCCTTTAAGAGTTCCCAGATTTTCAATGCCCTGGTTTTCAGATTTGGAAGAAAAAAACATTCGGAGGATTTGAGCAGTACCGGCTGGGCCAGGTTGATTCCTTATTCCCTTGGAGGGGGCAGTGGTGAGTTGCTTTATTGAGCCATTACAGTCCACGTGCTGTTTGGGTGCGTGCCCTTACTGTGTGGGTGCCTAGGTTTCATCTGTTTTGTTAACCCAATGGAGTGCTATAATAATTTTAAACACCTCAATCAGATCACATCCCATACCCCCTTTCAAACTACAAAGGAATATGTAAATCTTCCCTCATAATTTAATCCTCTAAACCTAATCTCATTCCAGTGAATCCGTGCTGGACTTCCTCAAAAGTCTATAATCCTTTCTGGCATGGTGCCCAGGAAACAGTTGCTCTGGAAGGGTTCTGACGAAAAGTCTGTGCAACTCAAATATGACTATCTTCCCTTTATATCCCTCACTTCCATGAGAAAAAGTCCAACATTCCATTAACCTTTTAATACCTGTGCACCAACTCAGCGATTGCTGCACTTTGACACTCAAATCAATGCTCCTCCACAGTTCCTTGTTTCCCAGCAATAAGACAGATATTCAATTTTATCTTCTGATGTACAGTCACAGCATGAAAAGTTGTCAGATTTTCTTTTCCTCTTCATTGATGCAGCCTGAACTACTGAGTATTTGCCTTTTTATTTCTGGTTTGTCTCTCTCTTGAATCCAAAATTGCTATTATAGCATCTCAACACTGAACCTGCTGCAGTTTGGCCTGTACAGTAGCCAATGTCCCTTTGTAACACCCTGTTTCTACTTGTACTACTTAATGTCCTACAGGTCTTCCTCGAAGTCATTGATATAAATGCTAAGAAAAGGTTCCAGTACAGATCCCTGGGAGACAATATTTCCTAGATTCCACCAGAATTTTACCTCCAATTTCAAATAATTTCATTTGTTCTAACAATGCCTATGCAGAATAAAACCAGATGCCTTCAAGAACTCATTATAAACAACATGCATTCATACTTCCTTATATACTATGTCAATGATCTTCTCAAAAATTCAACTCAGGTTAGAAGGTTGTGATAAAAATTAATACAGAATGTTGAATTTAAAAGATTAACGGTAGAAAAGTTATCAGTTTGGATGGAATTTATCTAAGATTACTGAGAAAACAAGCGTGGAAACATCAGAGACTCTGGAAAAATTCTTCCAATCCTATGTTACATCCTTGTTTCAAAAAAGGGAGAGAAATAAAACAGGCCAGTGAGCTGAATGTGATTGGTTGGGATGGGGAGGGAGGGGGTGTGGAATTTTTGTTGTCTCTAACTGAATTGTCATTTGAAAAAGTATGGGTTCATAAATGAAAGCCAGCAATGATTTCTTAAGAAAAATTGTGTTTGACTAACTTGATTGAGTCCTTTGAAGTAACAGCACATGTGGATAGGGTAATTTAGTGACATACTGCAAATGGGCTTCCAAAAAAAGGTCTGATAAAACACTGCCAAATAGATTTGTTAGAAAAATTCAAAACCCATGGCATTAAAGGAACAATGGCAGCATATGTACAAGAGTGGCAAAGTGACAGTTGTAGACAGTAAAATTAAGGATGGTTTTTGCTCACACTGAAGGAAGTGTGCATTGCTGCATGTCAGAAGTTGGGATCGCAACTCTACTGAATAAGTATTAATGAGCTGGACTTAGGTTTACAGGGCCTGATTTCAAAAATTGCAAATGATATAAAACTCAACTGTAGCAAATGAAGAGATGGATCAAAACAAGCATCAGGACATGGAAAGTCTGGTGAAATGAACGGTCATGTAGCAGATTAAATGAAATGCTGTCGTTCACATGAATAATGAAAAGAAGCAATGGAAACTAAATTGCATAATTTTAAATGAAATGCTGGAACAGAGAGATCCTGAGTCTGTATACATAAATTTTTAAAGCTGGCAGGTCAAGTGGAGAAGGCTGTTATAAAAACATAATTAGGCAAAGGAATAAAAGATAGCAACTGAAGTGACCATATGGCCCCTCTGACCTGATCCACAATTTAATAAAATCATGGCTGGCCTTGTACATCAGCTACACCTTTATGCTCCAGGAATCAAGGAATATGTGCAATCAAAAAATTGTCTGGTACTGACTTAAATGCATCAACATTTAAAACTTTCCATAGTAG